AAAAAAAAAAAAAAAAAAAAAAAGAAAGCAAACTCTGCCAGAAATAGAGACGTCGAGTTTCACACATGTAAACGTTAAATGACAAATTGGGCCCGGTATAAAAGTATATATAGCCATATAATACCAAACAACAAAGTATGCAGCGGTGAAGAAAAGTTCGGGCGTCAAATATTTGTCGTGGTGGAACAGCAATGTATTTTACGCGCCAGAGAGGTTTAAGTTTTGCGCACAAAAAAAAGTAAAAAACATACAAAAATCACACTTATGCAGACAGAAATAAAAACCTTAATAATATGCCGCAGAAATTCCGAACAAAATGGTGAAAAAAGATAACAGCAGTAGCGCTAGCGTCAACAGCAATAAGAATTAGAAGCATAAAACAAAAATTGCATAGATTTATTTTCTGAAACATTCAACAGAAGGAAGCAACATATTATCAGATGAAAATAAATGTGGCAACAGAGGAACTGTCAAGAAGAAAAAAGTAATAGTGAAAAAAAAGAAACATCAACCAAGCAAAACTGAATTGAGCTGAGCTAAAATGAACTAAACCAAACTAAACTACACTGAACTCGACTGGGCCGGGCTAGACTCATCGGACTAGACCGATCTGAATCGAATCTAAAACGATACAAACCACGATCGAAGCAAAACGGCGGGCACAAACAGATTGCATGATCAGAGCAAAATGGACGACGGGGAACTGGAGGGGGTTTGTGCAACCAGTTTTACGGTACTCGTTGTCTTTCGATTGGTCTTACAACGAAGACCTCATTGCAAGTTGCTGTTGCCTTTTTCAAAAATGAAATGTGCACCATTTTTGCCTAAGTGGTCGTATCCCCGCCCGTTTCCCCCACAAGTTTTTTTTTCTTGACCTATTCGGCTATAAAACAATAAATAACATATTTGGGAACGTGTATCGACAAGTTTTCTTTGTCTTCATTGATGTTTTTAGATTTTTTTTTGTTTTATTTTACTCTGCCGTTTTCTCGTGGGTTTCTTTGTTAAGGATAACCCAATTGATAGTGGGTAATGATGTTTGTTCTTCTCTTCTTTCTTATTATAGATTCTCTTCT